TTTCACAGTCATCATCATCATCATCATCATCATCATCATCATCATCATCATCATCATCATCATCATCATCATCATCAATGCCTTTCACCCCTGGCAGGGTATAGGCCACATACAAGCTCCTTCCATTTATCTCTATCCTGAGCCATCCTTCCAAGCTCGTTCCAAGTGAGCTTCATCTCTCTCATATCCCTTTCCACACATCTCCTCCACGTCTCTCGTGGCCTACCCCTTCCTCATGCTCCCAGTGGGTTCCATTGCAGTGACTGTCTTGTGATGTTTCCGCTGGGCTTTCTTAAGGTGTGTCCCATCCATCGCCACTTTCTTAGTCCTATTTCTACTTCTATATCCTTTTGTCCTGTCCTTTCCCATAGCTCTTCATTTTTTCCTTTCACAGTGACTTTTACCAAATTACATTTACTTTCTCTTTCTTTTTTCTGCACAGGCGATTATGTCCCGATCTGTCGTTCTTCCAACAAGCCACAGAGTACCCATGTGAAGAGCTGGTCAACGCCTCGTCCAACGTGGAGAACTTGAGAAAACGCGTGGAGCACTGCGTCCTTCAGTCAGAGACCGTCTCCAAGAATCGACTAGGAATCACCTTCAATGTATGAGCTGCTATACTTTTGAACTTAAAATCTTTTTTTTTCTGCAATTTTTATTGTGATCTCCTTTTTTTCTTTCTTAGATCTCTTGTGTCTCACAGTTGTGAAACTGAGTTTGTAGTTCCCTTGTGTGTGTGTGTGTGTGTGTGTGTGTGCCTGGGAATCAGATGTGTTGATTATCGGGATAAATCTGGAGATCTGAACTGTGCCCCACTTCAGGCTGATCAATGCAAAGTTGATCAGAACTGTGTGTGTAATTGTGTTCTTCGTTTAATGTAATGTATTGTGTTGATTCTTATACAGTTATTTAAATTTCAATCTCTTCGTGTATGTCATATTGCACTTTATATTAAACCCCCCGGGGCAGTGACACTGACTGAAGGGTCTTTAGGCCATTCCCAAAGGGGGGACAATTCTCGTTCAAACATAGTAGAATTGTAAATGGACTGACTCATGTCATTCTCATAACTGTGCCTGGTCTACAACAGGGAACTGCTGCTTTTTCTTTCCTGATCCTTACTATTGTCATTTTCCTGTACTTCTTTTGTATGTTTGTCACTCTCTTGTGACCTGCTATTTCCGGGGTGCCTTGATAGTCGAAGCAGACCTTGTGCTGTTGAAGCTAGAGAGGTGAGCAGTCTAAGTCTGATTCCCTGTAAAGACTTCTCTGTTGACACCCATCCCTTGGCGCTCATGTGACCTTATGCAGTTGCGAGCGCCGTAAAACCCTCTACTATAAAAAAATCACAAAAAAAATTTATATAAAAGCAGTCTCTATACAAGATGTATTTGATATTATGATTCGTAGATCGTAGATTTTGACTCACTTTCTACGGGGTCCGAAAAGTTCAGGATTTTTTTTTTCATAGCCAGTTTGCTCCTCTGCTGCGAACCTGTGCGATTATATTGAATTCACCTTTAAGCAAGGGTTGTTATGCGTACCACAAATTTCCTTTCTATTAGCGGTGCCATGTGTCACCTGCTTTCCTCTGGGTTTTGACGACACTGCTACTTTATGCCAGGGTCTCTCTGTCTGTCTGCTGGGATGTTATATCCTTCTCAGCCTGTGTTGTTAGTGGCCTAGTGGTTAGGCTCTCGGACTCACAACCATAAGGTCGTGGGTTCGAATCCCGTCAGAGGCCCGACGTTGTGTCCTTGGGAAAGGCACTTTACTCGAATTTTCCTCACTTCACCCAGGTGGGAATGGGTACCCGGCTATAGACAGCGAAAGATCTTGTCAGTTTGTTAGTGTTTGAGCGCTTCATCAGCTGCTTGCAGTGTATGCTTCCCGGGAAGCTGAGAATGTTTCTGAGTGTTCTATGGTCTGCTGGAGTAATAATATAGAGTAAAACGCATACAGCCTGTTGTTGAGTGGGGATATGCGCTATACAAATGCTATTTATTATTTATTATTATATTCAGCCCAGGTTGACCATGACAGACAGGTTGGATGCAGCCCACCTCTTTAATGATCTAAACTTTGTCAGTAGGGCAAAAATATTGGGCC